GGGGGGGGGGGGGGGAAGGGGAAGATGCTCACGGAGAAGGTAAATTCATTGAATCAAGCAAATCAGCAAGGCACTGACACAAGAGGTTGCTGCTGGCTACTTCCTGGGGAGTCACGTGAGGGGCCAGGGCATTTCCTACTGGAGCAGGACACCATGACAAGTTCCTTACCATGGTCTATGGGATAGACCTTCAGGCCATCCAGCTCAAAGAGCCGTCCCTTGATGGGAACATAGCTAACAAAATGGAAAGCCTCCATGGTCCGCACAGCACTGATTCCATTCTGCTTTTCCGGCAGATGGCGAGGCTCTGGCCTGCAAAGGCAAAAGGGCCCAAGGTCAATGCAGCAGCAGCCTCCCTCTCCCAACCCACAGAGCTGTACAATGACCTCCACACTCACCTGGCATGGCTGTTATGGGCCTTGGCCAGCTCTGGGGCATTGCCGATGGCATAGCCTTTACTCTGGAACAGAAAGCAGAGAGAGAGAACAGCTGACCCCAGAAATGGTGGGAAACAATGGCTGAGGTTTTTCAGATCAGGACTCAGCGTCTATGGAAAACCCTTAAATATACACAGCACTTTACAAGTACAAACCAGGCACAAAAGCTTGGGAGAGCAACCCCCAAGATCAAGATATGGTGCAAGTTCCAGAGGAGGAAGGAGACGGGTTCCTTGGAGGAAGGAAGAGGTGACTTAGAGGAGGATGTGAAGAGTAGAGGTGCTTGACTACCATGACTATAGACAATGCTCTGTGCTCAGAGAACAGCACAAGAAGAGGCACAGAGCCAAGCAAGGGCAACAGGAGGTAAAATCTCACAGCGAGCATGGGAGGAAGCTTAGGGAGAACATAAAGACCAAGACAGGGGTGAGAGAGCAGAGACCTGGGTGACAGAAACCTCCTGGGAGAGGAAGACAACACAGCTGCTCATCTCAGCCCTGCCCCATACCTCTGGGCTGAAGCCCTTGGTGAAATCCTTCATGCGGCTCAGCGTGGGCCCCAAGTCCACATTGCTGCAGTTCAGAAGCACGCTCAGTAGGGCGTGGGTGGCACAGGAATTGGGGATCAGCTATGGAGCGACAAGCAGGAATCAGTATAGGAACAAGATGATGCTTCACCCTCACTCAGAAGTCTCCCAACAGCCAGCAGAAACCAGCACAGAAAAACAGGAGAGCCACTTTGGTGCATGTAGTTAGTGCCTTCCTGTGAACCCTACTCAGCAAGTGTGGGAGAGCTGTTCACAGCAGTCCACAACTGGTGCAGGAGAGATGGGGTATCAGATCTCTGGTGAGAGGGGAGAGGGAGTGTGGGGACATGAACAAGTGGCCAGGAGAAGTAATTAGGATGGGGTTTTACAATGTGTCAGCTACTAAGCTGTGCAGGCTATTATCCCCTTAAGAGCACCAAGCTACCAGAGATCAGCTTTCTTTTACCACCATGTAAGAGCATGCACATGAGCAGTCACCTGAGTAGCTGACATGCTATAAATCCTCACCCTCATCTACCTCACAACAGCTTGTTCATGTGCTTGGGTCGTGGCTTCTGTCTACTCTTGCCTAGTCCCAGAGTGAAAAACACCACAGAAGCTGCTAAGCCACATCTGTACCGTAGGAACGCATCACAGGAGAACAAAGCTCCCTGATGTTTTGGGCAGGAGTCATCCATCCCCAAAGGGTTCCTTCCTCAAAGTGCCCAGATACACACCCCACCTCACCCCCCAGCTCTACCTCGGCACAAGCACCTAGGCCAGCCCTCAGAAAGACCACCCCATGGACAAAGCACTGGACCCCTTCTCCAGGGTAGGTTCCATGCCCTGTGCACACAGCACAGCAGTCCATGCTCCAAAGGACACAGTAACCTAAGCAAGTCTGACAGATGTGCCCATAAGCTGCACTCTGTCCTGTACCCTTGCTACTTACAGATGTGGCAGCGGTGACCCCCACACCTCTCTTTTCATGGTCCTGTCTCCCATTCCCAGCTGCCTTCTCTCATTAAGTCCCACAATATGTTTGTCACTCATGTGCAAAGACCACCCCCAGGTGTGGTCCCAGAGTCCAGATCTGACAGGTTAAGCATACACCCTCCCCCAAGGCATATGTATAATACTGCGCCTTCTCATTTCAGTGAATAGCTGCCCAGCCAGTAACTTCCTTCCCAATTTGTGCATATTCTGGATTGATGAAGAGATACCAGCACATCAACCCACCCCATCTGTCCACTCTCCTCCGCACCACCGCAGAGAGCTCCTCACATTAGGTCCCACCCAGCTTACCTGGTGGGCAAAGAACATATTATTGACAATGTCATCATCGATCACTGATGTCTCGTCTACCAGGGTGGAAACCTTCCGGCGAGACCGGCGTTCTTCAATCCATTTGAAGAGGAAAATGAACCCATAAACAGGACTGGCAGGTTGAAAACAAACAGCGTGAGCTAGGTCAGCAACTGCCTCAGACTAGAAAAGTTCCCACCAACCTGGACTGGGCTATTCCAGTCAGTTAATGCCAGAGGCCTTCTTCCACAATAGGAGGAGAGAGAAGAGGTCAGGCCAAACCCAGAGTGGGAGGTGCTTGCCACTGCCTCCAACTCTTGGCAAAGACAATTCACTTCAGCTGATTTCCACACCGCTGCCCCCCCTCCCCCCGATGCACAAGACAGGTAAATTGAGACAGTGCCAAACCCATAACCTTTTAACAGATTTACCAGAGTTATGTGACAGAAGAAGACATGAGAGAGCAGGGCAACCACATGCTCCAGCAGGTGCCTCTCACTGTCTCATACTCCAGTATGCTGGTCACTATATGCCCCACTGTTTCCCACTACAGTATGATTACAGGGCAAAAGTTTTTTAAGCAGAGTCAGGTACTGGTTTTGACTGGAAGGTTCTTCACTGGGGTCATTTCTAAGCACTGTGGAAAAACCTCACTAGTGACTGTACAGAGATCTGTAATTGCATTTGCTAGTGGGGCTGATGCAAAGACAGGAAAACCCTGAAGTACATCCCCGAGACCCCACAGGTTCTCTCGCTACCAATTCTCCCATTCTAGTACCAGCCTGGAGCTCCAGCCTGCAGCACTGCCATGGCTTAGCTCTTTGCTCTTCCTCCAAGGCAAGTGAGAGGGTTGATCATGTATCCTACTCCTGCAGTCTGATGAAGCACCTTTTCCAATCACTTCCCTGTTAGACGTTGCTAATATAGATGTCTTTAAATGTCTGATACACTCTCAACACAGAACTGCTTAAGGAAAGACCCACAAACTAAGCTTTTCTCCCCCTGATGAACCCTGCTCCAGGAAGTCATACTGCTGAGTTGATAACTTACCCCTGGCATTTGCTCTGTAGATCATAGATCTCCTCAACTTGCACCCCTTTAACCCCTTGAAAGAGAAAGAGCAGAGAATAGTATCAGACCAACAGGCGGGAGCCAGGGGCAGCATCCAGGATGAAACAAATATTACAAAAAAGCTCTTATACTCACCAAAATCTTCTACCAACAGGGTGAACAGACCTGAAGGGGAACAAAACTGAGGTCAGAACCTCTGGCTGAGTAGCATATGCATGCTGCAGGGAAGACTAATGAAGCTCCCTGACCACATGCTCTCACCAGTGCAGCACAGTTCTCACACCACCTTCTGCAGGAAATTGCAGGTTTGGAACTGGGATCAGAGAGCACTACTACAGAACAAGTCTGGGCTGATTTCAGCACAAGTCTACACCTGGCCAGGACACTGCCCCTGGCATACAAGTAGATGCCTGGTTTGTACCACATGCATTGACATCTTAAAAAGGTTTTAAGAGACAACCTGAGATCACCCTTCTCTTCTCAGAGCATTTCTGCTTAATCCAGGCAGTACAGAGAAGGCCAGCACAGGGACCACCAAATTTTGCAATACATCCCCAGCAGCACCAGAGATTCTCCTAAGAAATGGCACTCTGCCTTTTTTCCTCCCTATCTTGAAGTAGAAACAACTTGATCAGTTCCTAGTTTTAAAATGACAGCATTTTGAATTTATTTCTGAGCATGTGAAACAGCAATTAATCAAGGTGCAGTGGAGTCAAAAAGAGACTGTCCTGTAGTACAGAGTGCTGTACTGTGCTGTGCTGAGCTTGCGGTGCCCTTGGCTAGATCTAGTCACTGTAAAACTTCTGAATCCCACACTTCAAAGACCGGGGATAATGCCCTGAATACAGCAAAGAGACTCAGGTTATGGCAGACTTGCAGCAAAACAGAAGCTCCCTACAATTCTGTAGTGAAGGCAACTAACACACACCTCAGTTGTACATGCAAGCAAAAGTAGGGAGGCACCACTTCTCTCATGGCATTAGGGAAACCACTGCTGGAATAATAGGCCTAGTTCTGGTGTCCACTTTTCAAAGGGAAAGCCGAAAAAAAAATGAGCAAGGCCCAGTGAAGAGCTGCAAGAATGACCTGAGGCCTTTGGAACATGCCTGAAAGCAAAAGGATTAAGAAGTTTAATTATTCAGTTCCTCCAAAGGAAGGACGGGTCCACATGGAAACTTCAATGCAGTTTACAAGTACGCGAAGTGGAGAAGAGACATCCATTAGCAGATGGCTCCAACTAAGCTACTAGAAAAAGACCCGAGAGCCTGTGGCTGGAAGCTGCAACTAGATATGGGGCGGGCAAAATGTGGCCTGTGGGCCGGATGCAGCCTGCCAGGCCATTCTATCCAGCCCGCAGGGCCCCTAAAAAATTTAGAAAATTAATATTTGTCTGCCCAGGGCTGTCCATCATGCAGCCTTTGATGGCTTGCCAAAACTCAGTAAGCGGCCCTCCGCCCAAAATAACTGCCTGCCCCGAACTAGAATAACTCAGACTAGAAATAAAGATGTAAAGTTTTAACAGTGCAGGTTAAACCACTACAGTGGTTTTGCGAGGCAGGCCTGCTCCACAAAACCACTGTAATGAGCCATTGCTGGAGATGGTGCTGAAGATTTTAAATCAAGACTTGATGCATTGCTAAGAGAGATGTACCCCACTCCGAACCTGGGTTTGATTTAGAAGCAACTGAATGAGGGGTTCCAAGTCTTGTAGGTCAGACTAGACAGCTCATCCTGGCCTTCAAGTCTCTGAACGTATGTGCAATCCTCCTCCTCCTGCTCACCTGGGAGCGCCACGGGGTAGTGTGATCACCACCCTACATGACCTGGAACAGTTTCGGCTGCAGTGCATCACAACCATGAAGAGGGCAATCCTACCTGCTCCTGCAACGTATCTTATTTCACCTTTTAAAGAAGAAGGCTCTAATCCTACCTACAGGCAATGCAATTCCCATCTTCCTTCACAAATGGACTGACAGAATCAGGCCCTTTGCATCTTAAGACTTTCAGCAGTAAATAAACACTCAAGATAACACAAGGGAGAAGGAGCTCCTCCTGGCTCTCCAAAGCAAAATATAGGAAGAAGCGAAAGAAGTAAATGACCACAAGGGCTTGATTCTCTCATCCTTACAGCATGCCCCTCATACACATCACACACTTTGCTGCTAGGCCTGTATGGTAATGCCAGCCCCAAGCTGTGGCCTGCTCGGTAAAAGCACTGGTCGTCCGCATCTCTGTTAAGTGCCTCAGCAAAGAGCAACTTGCAGCGATGAATAACTGAATCCTTATCCTGCCAGCAGCAATGCCGATCCCATTGCAGCTAACCGTACCCTGGGCAAGTCCGCAGGGGAGGCTGGGGCAAAGGGCTGATCTTACAGGCCTCGACCACAGCAAGAGCTCGTGGGTCCCGGAGCCCCCCGTACGCGCCGCCCCGCTGCAGACAAGGCCCTGCCGGGCGCCGAGCAGCACCCCCAAGGCTCCCGAGCACCAGCCCCGGGCCGGCGGCGCCAGGCACTGCCAGGGGCCGGAGCGCGGGGACGGGGCAGAGACAGGGGCCGCGCGGGATGGGGGGGGCGGCTCCCGGG